TTTTTTTTTTTTTTTTTTTTGATCTGCGAATTATTGTGTATATACCTAACTAAGTAAGTATATAAGTAAATAAATGATTCTCTCGGTCGTCTCGGTCACCGACAGTAACAAACGTCTTACTTACTCTCGCGTCACACGACGAGACGGTATCATGTGTCGATGAGCACCATGAAGAGTGTAAGTATCGTCACGGAATGCACGGATGATAATTTCGCGTCGTTCTTGTCCCATTCCCGATAAACAAAGGGTTAACTCGTGCGACTGTTCAAATAATTTACGAGCCATCGATCAACCACATCCGCGTTCTCTTTCACCCAGTGTATATTGAACTTGATTGTTTCTAGGCTTTGCTCCAATGCTCGCCGACCGCTTCCGACATCCACTTTCTTAAAGAACTCCGACACCTGAGAGACGCAAAAATATATAATAATAATATAGCCTCGCGTGGAAAGTTTTCATTGTTAATTGTATGTGCGATTTTTAAAAGCTCTGATGTAACTGATACGCTATTCAGAAGTACGTAAAGTACGTAAAGTAGCTTTAGGAGTTGTAGGAAATATTAGCAGAAAAAAAAAGACGAAACTAAGAAAATTGCAACCATTCTGTGATGGGAAAAAAACCACATTTTGTTTTAATGAAACCGCCATTAAAATTATTATTACATTACTGTATTAGTTTATATAATAAATATCAATGAAACTGACATTCAGCTAGACTATTTTTCGAAGTTTTTCAATTTTTGATGTATGTATGTGTTTTTGCTTCGTCGGTAAACGGAAAGATATAACTGTCGGTCCATCAGCACTTGTTAATCTAATTTCTAACGTAGAGTAAAATTACAAACAGACGCAGGAGCCAAATTTGAACCATTATTCAGTTAACTACGTTCGACGTGTATACACCGAAATTTTATTTTAACGTGTATACTCGTCGTGTGAAATAAAAAAAAACTACCATTTACTTCAGAAACTTCAAATTTCATCCGTATGTTTCCATTATATTACCACTAAAACAACTATATATTTTGTAAAAGAATAATATATTAGTTTCGACAAACCGAGTTGATTCATCTGGTATTCTTTGAATACTGTTTTCTGTACTTTACCAAAGAGAATAATCAAGCTTTTCTTTTTTTATAAAATACATAACAGTTTTATTGGTAATATAAAGACATTACCAACTGACGTTTTTATCACTTCACTATTGAAATTCGGACTTTTCAAAGTAAATTCCAGAGGTGATTTTTTTTTTATTTTACACGATGAGTATAGACGTCGAAAGCAGTTCACTGGCCGAGTTAAATCGTTAAATATAAAATAGGAGCTTGTATACTCGTCGTAGCTTGGTTTTCGACTCACCTCGTGGTAGTCGTATTCTGTGAAGAAGTCAGAGACCACGACGGATATCAGCCCGCCCATGGTCAGCGATCCGTTTCCGAACAGAACGTGTATTTGAGGCCAATAAGCTTTGAGATGACGCCACGCAAGGAACTGGCCCTCGGAATTTGTAGCGACGGACGCAATAACCGTCTCGACGTCCTGTGATCTCACCATATCTCGGTCCAACGATCGCAGAAGGTAACGTTGCAGCAGCCACGAGTCGGTGGTCGCTCCCAGCGCTTGCAACATCACTCGTTTCTCGCTCGGCACCTGAGTTTTCTGATAATTCTCCCAGCAGTGGTTCCACTCACTCTCGCCGCCAAATTTGATTCCTGAGGGCAGGCGAGGCAAAACGAACGAATGAGTCCGAGTGACAATGAATAATAATAATAATAATGATAATAATGAAAGCATCATATACCAGCAACGTATACGACGTCTCGTATATTCGGGGCAATTCGTTCGCCGTGCAACATCCAGCCTTCGAAGAGACTTTTCGCTGGCTTCACAACGTCGTCCAGTTTCACCGACACGGCCGACTGAAGCACTGCGATTCTTAACAACCTGCGAAAAATAAAATATCTCCCGGTTGTAGAGAGATTATTTGACACGGTGTTTCAACTAACTAGAACTACCGAACGTTCAAGGGATTTCCATTAAAGACACTGAAGACAAAAGAAAAGTAGAGAGACTTTATAATACACAAGCTTCTATATTTTACGAAAAGAAAGAAATTATTATTTAGATTTTCAAAGAAATATACTGCTTTGTCTGACAAAAATTATCAATCGAAATTGATAAATCATTACGACCACTTTGGTAGTTGAGATTGACGAAATATCCTTTTCTAGGACCAACGAGATATTTTACGATCAATCGGATGAATGAAATACAATTGTGAAATATTTACTTCTTCAAATGGGACCCCTCGTCTGCCCAACCGACGTATTTGGTAACTGGAGTCAACAGCTGCTTGAGAAACGCGATGTACCGCTTATAGCCAGGACTCTCGCTCAGTCTGTCTTTCCAAGAGTGCAGGTACCCGAGCGCCGTGGTCCACGGCACGTAGTCCCTCTCGTTCAAAAGATAAAGGGACAATTCAAGTGGCACCGTAGCGTTCAACTCGCCTGCCTCGCAGAGCGTGAACGCGTCGTCGATTAGGTTGGCACGATCCGCCGGGCTGAACTTGGTGTGATTGTTCAACAAGGTAGCAATGATCGACGACCACATCTCCTCTGGATAGGTCACGCGATAGAATCCACTCTGATTCACGTTGCACTTTACGTAATCCACGTCGGCGGGTATTTCGAACGTCACTGAAAGTCACAGAACGATTTTGATCGCGCGATTACTACGAGGTGACGTTGTCCATTCGTATCTGGAAATACATTTTTCACGATACATTTGTCTCACAATTCAAATGTACAGGGTGGAAAGAAAAATTCAAGATCAAGGCCAATTTTCCCGAATCGAGGATAGAATAGAATTTTCCAAACTTTCCTTTCCCATGTACTACCCTGTACGTAAATGAAAATAAAAACTTTTCTTGCGGCAATTCGATACAAAAGATACAGCTGCTCTCTTGCCAAGGAAATCTCTAATTAGTCAGCATTCGGGGTGATGTCACGAAACGAATGATTGCAAAACATTATTCAAAAATCATATAAAATTATTAACATCGACGTGTGACGTGAGCAGAGCCAAGTAAGAGCAACTGAGAAGTAATTTTATATAATTTTTGAACGGATTTCGTTTGACGATTTTTTTTCTTCTCTCTTTTGTTTTTTTTTTTATTTTTCTTTTCTCTTCGCCTAACACTGATCTTAAACATCTCTAGAAATGAAAAAAAAAAGAAACATGTTCGTTATAATTGTCCTATATGTTACCATCGGTTAAATTCATCCATACGTTGTGAATCTTGCGCGGTTCTTTGTCTGTGTAGTAGCTCAACGGGACATACCACTTGTAGTCAAAGGGCGATTTTGATTCTTGCTGTTCGGTATCGTTTTCTTTTGGCGATATTAGAAATCTCTGTTGAGTCGCCGTGATGGTATTCCCGTTACGCGTAATCGTTATCAGAGGGAAACCCATTTGCTGGGTCCACGTATCCATAATAGCCTGTCGACACATTCAATTTGACGAAGCATTAGAAACCGACAGAGCCGAGAACGACAAGATTATACAGGGTGCGCCGGAATGCGTAGTACAATCGAGCAGCGGGTGATTCTACGTCAAAAAAATCAGAAAAAAATTTGGCGTAACATTTTTTTTAATCTGGGGCTCGATTTTCGAGAAAATCGACTTTTGTGAACGATTTGGTTGTCTATTCTCCTATCGTCCAAGATAGTGTTTACAAACATTATTTATTGCGTGGTTAAAGCAGTACAAGGTGCTCCTACTGATGATTAATTTTTGATTCCTTATTTACTACTTTCTATTGCAATACCACAATACAGTACACTTGTTACAAGTATTGGTGAAAATGTCCTCCTCGTTGCTGCACACATAAGTTTGCTCGACGAATCAATGACATCTGAACAGAATGTAAGCTGATGTCGTTTTTTTAATTTCTCGAATTTCTCCGCAATCTTTTGCTTCGAATGTGTAATATTTGAAATATTGTCTTTACTTAAATTTATATTTAATAAATACTGTTACTTTATATTTAATAAATTAACTTTATATTTAACAAATACTGTTCTTTGATTGATTTAATAAATACTGTTACTTTATATTTAATAAATACTGTTCTTTGATTGATATAATAAATACTGTTACTTTATATTTAATAAATTAACTTTATATTTAATAAATACTGTTTTTTGATTGATATAATAAATACTGTTACTTTATATTTAATAAATTAACTTTATATTTAATAAATACTGTTCTTTGATTGAT